ATTTCTTCAGTTAACCAGTGGAGAAGCTAAGTGATTTTATTTCATAACAAAACATGACCTTCAATATAAAAAATTGATACTAAATTAATGTTAATTTTTGACTGCCTCAGTGTTAAGGACTTTTTGATTATATTATTTTGAGTTTCTACCTCTAAATATGAATATATTCAATTTAAGCTTTTTGTTTCACAGTTAACTGTATGGGTTTTTTTTCTTCTCCCTTAAAATGCTTTTCAGTTTATTAACTCTAGTGCACTGTTATACAATAGTAAAAAAGTTTATGTAATAAAATCTTTTATTTTTTGCATAACACATGATTTATTTTCAGGTTTGGAAATAGTCATAATTGCAGGTATGCTGATCATAAGAAGTGAGAAGGAATATTTTTCTATTCATAGTTTTAATAGACGTTATATAATTTTGTTTGAATATAATATAAAGCTCAAATTTATACCAAGAGTTTAGTGTTTTCTCACAACATTTTAATAAATTATAGGATTGTGTGGTAGTGACTATGACCCATTTTTTTAGGATATTTAACTTTTCTGTGTGGTTTTTCTCTTTTGCTTTTTAATGTAACATATATTTAGCACAGTGGTAGGGCATTTGCCTTGCGTGCAGCCAGCCCGGCCAAGTCAGGTTCAATTCCTCCGCCCCTCTCAGAGAGCCCAGCAAGCTACCGAGAGTATCTCACCCTCACAGCAAAGCCTGGCAAGCTCCTCGTGGCATATTCAATATGCCAAACACAGTAACAGCAAGTCTCAAAATGGAGACGTTACTGGGCCGGCTCGAGCAAATCGATGAACAACAGGAGGACAGTGTTTGTTTTTTTATATTTGTACATTACTTTATGTCCTGTTTTGAAAAGGTAAAATTGGTATCTCTAAAACCTATTGAGCTTATATCCAAAGGGCATAATTCTAATTTAGTGATAAAGTAAAAAATGATTTTTTGCATAATTTTCAGAGATGTGATCCTGGAGTTCTTTAACTTTCTATAGGATCTTCTCTGGCCCAGTATATACAGATATTATTGCTTCTTTAGTTTGAAGAGAGGACCTTTTAGTATTTGTCATTTATTTATCATAATTGCCAAAACTAATTAATGCTGAGTTCTTGTTAGCTTTTTGTTTTGTTTTGTTTTGTTTAGAAAGGACCCCGTAAAGAATGTAGTATTGTAGAAGGAGAATGAATCCTAGTTTCTGTATCTTTACTATGTTTGTACATTACTTTACTCTGTGTTCTAATTAGTTTATATATGAATTAGAGTTGTAGTATTTTTAGTTTAGGGTGATCTTTGGATCCCTTTGCCGGTTTTTTGGTTTCTTTCAACTTTAAGATTTATGATTTTGTGGTTCTGTCATGGATTACATAAAGTGAAAGCTTAACTTGAGTATGAACTTTAAGGAGGTTCTTCCTCTGGGATAAAACCCTAACTGTAACTGACCAGTAGAACAACCTCTCTTGAGTGTTAGCAGAGTGAGTGTAATCCGAGCTGCTTGTGAGCTTTCCTTATTATCCCTGGAGGCCCCAAGTCTCAGATAATGTTTTTCAAATTCAGAATAATAATTAGGAAGTTTTAATAAGGTGTTTTGCTTTGTTCCAAAAAACACTTTTGTCTTCAAAACTTTTTTCTTGCTCTTTTTTTAAAAAGTACTATTTGAAATTAACTTTAAAGGCCACATAGATTAAAAAAAAATTAAATAAAGGCCACATAGATATCTATTGTGGCATATAAAGTAATCAGTTTGGTGTACATGACAGAGTTGACATAAGTCAGACTGTTTTCCTTTGATACAGTCACAAAATTTTAATTATGTTCCTGTATAATAATTCTCTAATATTTAACTTGACACCATTTGGGGGGCTGGAGCGATAGCACAGCGGGTAGAGCATTCGCCTTACAAGCGGCCAACATGGCCGACCCGAGTTCGATTCCTCCGCCCCTCTCGGAGAGCCCGGCAAGCTACCGAGAGTATTCGATATGCCAGACACAGTAACAACAAAGTCTCCAATGGAGACGTTACTGGGCCCGCTCGAGCAAATCGACGATCAACGGGAGGGCCTTTACCTTTTACCTTTATCTACATTAGTGATAAAGCATATTTGCACATACATACATCCACAGATGTTAGATATAAAGGCATTTGAATATACCTCAAAATACTGCTGTTTCATGTTTTGATTCTTAAATTCAACAGAATCTGTTTATAGCATGTCATTTGTTTTTAAGAATAATTGTATTTAATATTTCATTCCCAATTAATTTGAAAATTAATCTTTTTAGATGTTCATACTTGTTTCCTTAATATGCATATTTGTGATTAATATTTAATACCTTTCTGCACAAAAATTTGATCTGCATACCATCCCTGGGAACTTGTTACAAATACAGAATTCCAATTTTCTTGGATCTACAAAACTGAAGGCTATGTTTCGAGAAGATTTTCAGGTTCTTCTTACACTAAAGTTTCAGGAGCACTAATTTTGACAGCTTACTAATTAGAAAAGCCACCTATAACTGTTATATGGTTCTTAAACTATAGAAGTCATTTGTGATTGAAGTTCAGCCCTTTGTTACCTGTTCCTTTATTTTTATTTTTGGTTTTTGGGGCCAGTACTCTCTGGTAGCCTCAAGGAATGATACCATGCCCAGATTGAACCCAAGTGCTATGTATGCCAGAGATGTGCTCTAGGCCTTTGAATTATCTACTTCACCCTAAGTGGAATATGAAATTTTGTTAATTTTACAATTGGTTGCTAAATAAAAGCTCTTAAAGTGTTAGGATGTTTAGTTGTGGAGGTATAGCTGTCAGTTTCTACAAACTACATGCAAAATATACCCTTATTTCTTGTGTAGAAATTCATTTAAAAATTCCTCTGATCTTTGCTATATGGGCAAATGAGAAATATATGCTATAATATTATCTGATACAGCAATACCACTGAGAAGGTTTGTTGCCATCGGCAAACTCTGTGGTAGATTGACATGTGATTCATAATAGCAGATTATACAGTGGGAAATCTAGCTTCCATTGAGTAATTAATAACAAAGGACCAACATTATGCTGTCTATAAAGATATCATAGAAGTTGAAATGTTATCCACTTCTAGAGTCACTTGCATAGTTCTTGACCAATAACCTCTCTTTCATAACTGTAGATTTGGCAAATGGTAATAATGCGGTTACTGTTCTATTGTATCATTGTGTTTTGTATTCTGAAATTTTAACTTGGGTACTTAAAAATGTCTTCCCTGGGGGCTGGAGCAATAGCACAGCGGGTAGGGCGTTTGCCTTGCACGCAGCCAACATGGCCAACACAGGTTCGATTCCCAGCATCCCATATGGTCCCCTGAGCACTGCCAGGAGCAATTCCTGAGTGCATGAGCCAGGAGTAACCCCTGAGCATCGCCGGGTGTGACCCAAAAAGCAAAAAAAAAAAAAAAAAAAAAAGTTTTCCCTGCTTTGTCAGTTCTTTGAGTTTGAAATGATGTAGATATTTCTAATAAGTAGTTATTATAAGTGGCAAACCAATAAATCAAGCCATAAGTTCATTACCAGCATTGCAAAATAATGATGATACCCTAAATTTATAGTTTTTACTGTCTTTGATCATTTTTCTTATTCAATTCAGTCAAACCATATTGCCTTTTTTGTATATCTGAAGCATATTAGCCATGGTTCAGACTGGTTCACTCACTTGGTTCAGTCAAAAGAGGAAGTTTAAGAAGCTCCTAGTCTCCCATTTTAATTAGTCAGTAGTCACTAAGAATCATCTTATAACCCAGTTTTTTCCTTTTTTTTTTAAGAGCATATCACTTAAGAGAACAACGCCCTTAACAAAGAAATTTTAAAATATGAGGCTGATAAATTAATGGTGAATTAATAGTTTATATGTTGTGTAATATGTTTTTATTATTACTTTATAAATATTATAAGACTTTAAATATTTTCCTTTACATGTATCTGCTGTTTTTGATGTAGAAATTTACTTCTTCTACAGTAGTTTTTTTTTTAATTAGGAGCTTAAATGATTTTAGGATAAAAGCTTAATTTACTGAACTAATCAGAAAACAGTATAACTTTACAATAAAATGTAAGTACTAATTTTTTATTGTTGCTGACATTTCAGTATTTAAATTTTCCATAACTACACCAAACTAGTTTGAGTAATAATAACTAAAAAATCAATTATTTTATTTATTTGCCAGTCTTGCAAAGTTAAATAAAATGAACCACTCAATTATGATAGACATTAGATGCTACTTGAGGAGATGGTTTTTTAAGACCATTTAATGTCACATTAAGGACTAGGGGACAGAAAGATAGTACAATGGATAAAGCACTTACCCTACATGTGTCAGACCTAAGTCTGATCCCATAATCCCTTAGCGCAGAGCCAGGAGTAAGCTCAGAGCACAGCTGGGGTGGCCCAAACCTCTCCCGACACGCACACAAATAAAGTGTTGAATCTCACTCACTTCTTTGACTGTATCAGTAACATATAGTTGAAATCCTGTATTAGCTATTTCAGCAGCAGTAATTCACTTCGTAAATTTTATAGATCGGAAATCACAGCAAAGATATGTGAGTTCTGCAGGGATTGCTCTACTCACCTATTAGGACACTGCCAGATGAAGCATTTCCTAAAAGTGATTCAGTAACCTGTCAGATTTTAAGTGAATTTCCAGATCTTTGTCATTCTGGGCTGAAAGTTAATAGTAATGTTAAGAAACTACTTGAATTATCAAACTAACAGATATTGGGGTATAGGTGAAACCACCAATGTTGAAATTTCAGCTTCTTTTATACTAAGTCTGAAGCTCATACACCATAACAAGTAAATGTCTTTTAAAATATAAAATGCAGAGCTTTCTTTGCTTTTTTTGCTATTACAAAGACAATTGTGAATTCAGTGTGTGTTAAAACAATTTCTGTTACCACATTTTGGGTGTTTTATATTATGTGTTATCAAGCTGTGTTTTTGTGTTTTATTTTAGCTTATTTGCACTAATCTTGATGAACTCAGGGAATTAATCACAAAAATCGAGAATGAACTCAAAGATCTGGAAAACAGTAGAAAAAAATCGGTAGGTGTTGATCCAAAAGTTCTATCTATTATTGTCAGCATTAAAATTTATTCCTGCTTTTTTTTCTAAAGCCTCTTTCCCCCAACCCCTGATTCTCCTGGATTACATAAAATTTGCAATGAAAAATAGATACATTATTTCTTTATTTCTACTGTGTGGTCTAGTTTTCCTTTTTAAGAGATAGAAAATGGTGCTTGGGCAAGTAAATCAGTTTTGTTTGCCTGATCAGATATAGTTTAGATACTTCCCAATATCCTATCCTAATTTGTTGTTTCCTAACTGGTATTTCTTTGTATAGTGCTTACCTTGCAAATATTCTTAACAATTGTATTATTCTAATGGAAGGTTTTATTGCTTAGCAAAATATTATCTGTGACATAAATAACAAATGGAAATCATTTAATCATGCCCCAGATGGTTTTGATACATACTTCGTAGCATCTCTTTTAAGAATCCTTATCAACTGAAATAGTTACTTTCACTGTATAGTCTAAATTCACAATCTACATTTATTCTTGAGAAGATAGAGTATTAAGGACATTATATTTATTTAATCAACTTGGTAAAACATTAAATCAGTAATACTCATTTAACTATCATTTATAGTTTGGTTAAGTCACAGATTTGAAATACAGTTTTATGACAGTCAATAACTGGGGGAAGAATAAAATTAAACAAAACTATTATTAAAATCATTTTTAAAAAATAATAATGTTTTAATCCTTAGGAATATGATGAAGCCATTTTAAAATCTTTGTTTAGAACCTGTTAGTCTAGAATTATGTACAAAATAAGGTGATAGAAGGGATTTCATACTAGATTTGTAGCAGCTTTTTAAATGCTGTTAGAAAAAAACATTTGGTAGCATTCTGAAAGAGAGAGACAAATTCATAAAAGTATAATCTAATGAGTCTATTTAACACAGGGGTACAGCAAAAAATAACCTTAAGGATCTCAGAAGTTTCTCATATTCCCCCGAGAAATATCAGTATAACCTCAAAGAGGTTATAATTATGCTTATAATTATGGCCAGCATTTAGCAGGTAAATGCAGGAACTTAACTCATTTTAGAACTACATCCACTAAAAATGGTTTATGCCCTTTTTTTTAATAATACATACCTTTGGTGTATGGGCGGTTTTGATACAGAATATCAAGTGGTACTTTTAATTTTATCTGAATTCTCAGCTTTTATATTGAAATATTTTTGTCTTTGTTCAGACTTTCAAAAATTTATTAGAGGGGTCTGAAACATAGTAGAGCAGGAAAGGCACTTCCTTGCACATGGGCTGGCCCCGCTTTGATCCTCAATACCCCATATGGTCCCCCAAGCCTTCAGGAGTGAGTGCAGAGCCAGGAGTAAGCTCTGAGCACTGTCAGCTTTGGTCCCAAAACCAAAATAAAGAATATTAATATAATAGATACTATTTTCTTGTGAAGTAATGGTTCTTATTTAGTATCTAATTAAAGTATCTTTTAATTGGATATTATTTTTACTTTTTTGCAGAAGTTATTTATATTTGGTAGTCCATAAATTATGACTGAACAGAATTCTAATAAATTTTCTATTTTTTATGTTGCAGCTAAATAACTTACGCATCTTAATTTGTTTTCCCATATTTATAAATTAGATTTTTATTAAATGAATAATTCAATAATTTCATGAAAAATGCATAATTCTAGGCATAATTGATTTTTGTGCCTATGACATGTATTATAAAAGACTTTTTAAGCATCCTAGGGTTGTTTTATAAACCATCCCCTTCACTTCAATTGGTGATGTACTGTAGCACTGTCCTCCCGTTGTTCATCCATTTGCTCAAGCGGGCCCAGTAACATTGTGAGACTTGTTACTGTGTTTGGCATATCAGATACATTACGGGTAGCTTGCCAGGCTTTTCCATGCAGGGGAGATACTCTCGGTAGCTTGCTGACTCTCCGAGAGGGGCGGAGGAATCGAACCTGGGCCAGCCGGGTCGGCCGCGTGCAAGGTAAACGCCTTACCCGCTGTGCTATCGCTCCAGCCCTCAATTGGTGATATGAAGTATTAATCATATAACCTTCCTTCACAGAAACAGAAGAGTAGTAAAAGAGAACTATAAATTATAAATATCCCAACCATGCAGATGACCCCAACCCATAAAAGCCACACAGCATAAAAGATACAAAGTTTTCATTTCTTTTTTTCCTTTTTGTTTTATAGTAGATATTTCTGAGTGAGACTGATCGTATTTCTAGGAATTAGTTTATTGAACATCAATGTTAACCTTGAATATCAATTTATTTATCTGGCATCATATGAGAATAGGGTGTTCATTCAGTTACCTAACTGAATTTTTTAGATAACTAGAATTTAAATTTTTCAGTCCAACGCTGTGATTTTAATTATTTATTGCAAATACATTAAATAGAGTTTAACCCAGTTTGATGACCCCTACATCATTATTAAGAATATCTACAATTGTGCAGATACCCCAAACTAATTGATGCCAATTAGTAACTCTAATTAAATATTAACCAAATTATGCTCCATATTTTGAAGATTTTTATTTGCTTACATATTTTTTGTTTGTCTCATTCATTATCGTCAGTTTGTCATTTCTTATGTGGTCCATATAATTACCCTGTTACACTGTTGATTAGAAATCAAGAGAACATACTAAATTGGGTCCATGGTAAGGATTTTCTTGGTAATGAAATGCATGAATTTGATGATTCGGGTAGCCATTTTTATTGATTCTTTGCTTTGTGGTCTTCCTTTACTTCAGGCAAAATATAATACTAATCTTTATAAGAGGATATCATGTGGTGTCAAACTAAAAATAGAATGTAGAATGCTACTCATTAACATCTTTTATATTTACTGTGATGGGTCCAAAAACAAAGAGATTATATTCCATATAAGTATATGATTGTCGTGGAGTTCATGCACAATTCAATCAGCTAATCAGTGGCTGAATAACTAGCAGTACTCCTACCAAAAAAAAAAAAAAAAGTATATGATTGTCATTAATACCATTAGTAAGGATGAAAATTATCAGTGACAAAATATTTGTCCCTGACAGCAGTTTTGTTGTTGCTGTTTTTTAAAAAGGCTTTCTTGGGGAGCAGGAGATGGCCCAAAGGGATGGAGCACATGTGTTACATGTAGGTGCCCCGGGTTTGATCCCTGCCACTATCAGGAGCGAACAATCCAGAGCACCATCCTGGAGGTTTTGCTATTGAACTACTCATTGTATTGGAAATTTTATGCTCTTTCAAATGTAGATTATTTATTCCTGCTAGGATAATATGGTTAATAACAAGATAAAGATACTTTAATTTTTTGGAGTTTGCTCTACTTCACTTGATCCCATTATTTCATTTAGGGTTTTATTCCAGACGCCAGCCTATAAATTCTGAAGTCTTATACCTGATTAGATACCTCAGATTTATTTAAAGAGCAGTTATCTAGTTGAGATAAACAAAGGTATGTAATTTGAGAGTGTTTTAAATTCCTTATCTTTCTTATTATTTAGATAGAATTTGTTAGTGATCCTAAAAGGAAATCATAGCATTTTATTGGTGTTATTTTTCTGGCAAGAGATAAAATTTTTGTTTCACTTACTTCGAAATGTCTTTTTAACCAATATTTATTTTCCAGAAAAACGGAGCTAACCACAGTAATATCTTTTTAGTTTTTTTATTTTAAATTTATTAGGCACTGTTGCTTTCTAAATGAAATTAGGATCTTTTACAGCTTATGTACAATTACTTGTAATATCTGAGTTTTCCACGTGAGCCTATTTTTCTCACATCTGTTTAGTTTGTTTTCAGTCATGGTTTAGATTTTCAAAGAGGTTTCAGTGCTTTTTCCTTAATAAGAAAAATCTGTACAGAGATTAGGTACTAAAGTGTAAAAATTTGGCAAAAAATTGTATTATTTTAATAAACATAAATGATAGTATATATAGTCTATATGTATAGTCTCACTAGTATAAAAAAATGAAATTTTAAATGTAAATTCATATCTTTTCCAGTGTATTGTTCAGCAGTTAAGCATCTCAATTCTGAACAGACTCCAAATATTTCTAAATTCTGTAATCCATATGTTAGAAAAACTATAAAATGGGGTTGGAGAAACAGTACAGTGGGTAGGGTGCTTACTTTGCATGCAGCAACCAGGTTTGATCCCCAATATCCCATTTATTCCCCACAAGTGTGGCCCAAAAACCCAAAACAAAGCAAAACTATAAAAATTGTCTTTGATCCAGTAATCTTATTTAGGATTTAATTTTTTTCTCCAATTTGCAGTTCCCCACCACTAAAAAAGTAATTTTTACATTGGTGGTTTAGCAGACAACTTCTGACAGTGGAAATTTGTTTGTTTGGGTTTTTTTTTTTTTTTTTTGCTTTTTGGGTCACACCTGGTGATGCACAGGAGTTACTCCTGGCTCTGCACTCAGGAGTTACTCCTGGCGGTGCACAGGGGACCATATGGGATGCTGGGAATCGAACCTGGGTCGGCCGCGTGCAAGGTAAACGCCCTACCCGCTGTGCTATCTCTCCAGCCCCCCTGACAGTGGAAATTTGGAAAAGCTTTTTATGTCTAATAGTAGGCAGATGGTTAGCCAGACAATAATATTTAACGCAGTGGTTTATCATTTTGTGAAATTATTTGAAGATTATTTATATATGTTAACATATTTATAAAATGTTAAAATTTTTAAATATCCAAAGTATGTGTCTAATTATTATAATACACAAAAAGTAACATTAAAGAGAATTAGGTAGAATTTTTAAATAATTAGTAAAATTAATTACTTTCATCACATAATATAAAATTAATCTTTATCATGTTCTTAAGTTTACTTAAATTCATATTACAGTAATGAAACTTAACCAGAAGTTGTACATTAGTTAAACTTAACAGAGAAATCAGTAGCTTAGACCAGAGATAGTGATGCCCCAATTGTGCTTACAGGGTTCTGTATAAGTCAGTAACGGTGATTTTGCTGTTC